GGAGACGTTAGCGAGTACATCGGCGACCGGGGGCTGGGCCGGGTCGGCCGTGTTGAAGCAGACGTAGTTGTGGTCGCTCAATGTCTCTAGGTCGGGTACCTGCCAGTCTGTGAGGTCCACGCCTCGATAGAACGTGAGATCTATAATTGATGTGGCCGCCCCTCTCACGAAGGTTGGGGAGGTGCCCGAGTTGGCCAAGATCAGCCCCAGACTTATGGCGAGATCGGACAGCGGTGCGCCCCTGGGGTTGTTGGTTCTCGAACCCCACTCCACGTTCCAGGCGTTGAAGTCGCCGGCCAGAACGATCGATGAGTCCCCTCTAGCGCGGATCGCCGCCTCAAGGTCGCCCAGAAACAGTCGATACTCCGGCAGCGAGGCCCCGGGCCTGCAGTAACAGCTGAAGACAGTCAACCCCTGGAATGATAGCCAGGCGAACCCACTGCCGAATCCCCGACCATCGTGACTGAGCTCTGAGCGCAGTGATGTACCCACAGCAGCCTTGCGATCCGTGCTGAAGCACCACCGGTCCTCATGGCCATAGGGGGTGGCCGGCTCAGATACAATAAGGATGTCAGCCCTGATCTCTTCCGCCGTCTGTGCCATAAGCTGCTCTGCTGCCCAATTTGCATTCAGGTTTATCTGCAGGAATTTAATCATCTGTACTCTTGGCTGCTCCCGACTTTCTTCTAGCGGCGCACGCCCCGGAGCCTGGTTTGTGCGCGACCTTCGGCAGACCAGCGGTTTCGCAGGCCACGCAACGGTCGTCACCCTCGGCGCAGTCCTTCATTAAGTGGCCTGCCACTCCGCACTTCCAACAGGCGCCCGTCCTGTCCTCCGCGGTGCAGGATCTGGAGTTGTGGCCGAAGGCCTGACACCTGAAACACCTCTCCGGTGGCAGCGTTCTTGGCCGGACGCGGCACATGGTCCACCCGATCGGGACCCTGGCGATGCTGGCGGCAATGCTCCTGGGCATTTTCGCCGTCGCGATCTGCTGTCCGGATCGGGTGCTCCATATCCTGACGTCGCTGACTACGTCCCTGTCGATCCTGGCTGTAGGATCGTCCTGACCGGGAATCGCGTCGCGAAGCGCCTCCAGGACTTCCGAGGCGGAGGCGGTTGCATCGATGTCCAACACTTCGACTTCCACCTGGACCCCGAGCTGGACCACCTTCCCAATGGAGTCGCCAAGCTTGCTTGACATGGCTGAAGCGATAGTCTTGGCTGCTTTCGTTGAGCTGCTTCCTTTGGGTAGCTCCAGGAGGAGACATCCGTCCCGTGTCTGCCTCATAGTGACGCTAGTGCCTATCTCATCCCTGGTCAACCCGCAATTCCGCACTGCCAGAATGGTGTCCCGGTAGGACTTTCCGGCCGCGTTTCGGATTAGGATCGCCGGCGGTTTATTGGAGAAAACAGGCGGGCGCTGGCGGGACCCTGCGGCGGGTGGGAGTGCAGCAGCCGCCGTTTTTCTCCCTTGCCTGGATCGTCTGCCGACGACTTTCGACCACTCCTCGCCGTCCGTTTCCATGGCGTCGGTTTCGGCGTCCCGTGCGGTCTGTTTACCTGCTACCTTCGGTTTCCTTGACCTGCGTGCCGAGGCTGCCTTGGACTCGATGACCGCGTCACTATCCCAATAGCCCGGGGTCAGGATCATGTCCGTGGAGGCGTCGGATGTAGATGCAGTGGGAGCGCTAAAATTGGGCGCATTAAGCAGTTCCCCATCCATGCTAAGCAACGAATTTAGACACTCAAACGCCTCGTTGTTGTGCTCGAGAATCCGCTCCATTGCGGCCCGCAGAACATCGTCCGACGCGCGGTCATTAATCATCCTGGCATCCCTGTGTACGTTAATGAGGTGCGACGTGACTCCCTTAAGTGTCGCCCAAAGATCTTGCAGCCAGGTTACTGGGGACTTCGGGGACGTTGTGATCTTCATTTTCTTGACCGAGGGTCCGTCGGATGAGTTCGGCTCAGACATTTCATGCGAGGCGGCCATTGCTCGGAGAGCGGTCGGTTCGGAGACTGGTTGGAGCGTGGCGTCGCCGGGGGCCTGGCCCCGGGGCTGGTATGAAGCGCTGTCCCTGTCCGCGCTGTTCCTGTTGGGGTACAGTTGCAGGCACTGTCCCTATCTTACCGCACTGTCCCTATCGGGGTGGCGGTGCGGAGCTCACTGTCCCTATCGGGGGGCCCGAACTCCTCCTCCGGGGGGGGATAGGGGGTCCTGGTTTGCTGGGTCTTGTCGAAGTCTCCGAAAGCTGCTAGGGTATCGTCGAGGGGGCAAAATTTTCGTCACGAAGCTCTAGGAGCAACCCTGACGGAGATACGGCCGAAAAACAATGGGGAGCGTAGAGGGGGTCCTCTGGCTTGGCGCGCAGGCCCGGTGGGGGGCCGCACTTGCTTCCTTGGAAGTGGTGCGCGCCAGCGGAGTCCTCTTTGCGACTTTAATTGCGGGTGGCAGGCGCTGGTGACGCTGGGGTGTAGCGGGTCGACCGGACTAGGAACGGCTCGGGAGCGAACTCGACGGAACACGTCTTTCCTTGGCGGACGACTCTGCGCGACTGACGGACGACTCTGCGCGACTAACCTTATAATAAACTGTGTTGATGATATTATTATTAAACAAAACAAATCGTAATTTAATAAAACACAATCAAGTACCCGGAACAGGCTATTGTATATGCTAATATTATGTAATGGTTGAGAAAACAATGTACAAACGGTAATGGTATTTTCATGCATTTAATTTTACTCCTACAGGATTCCCAACGATTTCTTTATTTTTACTCTTTAAAACAGTATTTTGAATATTTCTAAGTGCCCCCAGTATGGGTTGTATATTGTATACGTATATACCGTCGTATCGTACACGAGTTTGAATTGTATAGGAAATTAATAGAATAAAAAAAATACCGTCACCTTTGTCATTATATTCTGTATTAAACACTACCAAGACTTCCGCCTATTGAGGGTCCCCCGTCGAAGTGGTTAGGTAAGTACAAATGTGCGGAAAAAAAATTATATACCACGCTTTTGTCGCAGGTTCTATTCCCAAATGTAATATATTCGAGTAAGCGTTGGGGAGCCCCGACCGACACACAAAAGAGTTTTTCACCGTGCAGTGACGACGGCGACAACTATATAATATGACTTCTGAATACTGCTGCGGTATATACATATCATACAAGAGGGGGAAACGTCTGAGGGGTACGCTAATAATAATAATTAACCGGTCGACGAGACGACAATATTGTCCCAAAAGCGGGGGGTAACGTGTAATAAATATGACGCGTTTGGTCTACCAACGGCGCATGGTTTGGTATCGCCACCCGAAACAAAAAGGTGCGGATCGAGCGCAATTCTGAACGCTTGGCGTTTGTATTATTATAATAATATGTATTATATTTTATATAAATATTAAAACTCAACATTACGAGCTCGAAACAATAGTTTTGCCGTCCACTTTTATTCGACCCGTCATGTGCACTGCCCCGTTTCCCACCCGCCGCCACGGGTCACTTTTGTTCTCGTCACTCGTTTTCCCTCGGCCACCCGGTAATTTATTCCATTTGTGCGAGTCGTTGGTTTTTATTTTTTCCTACGTAGGTTTATAGGTATATACACATTACACATACGCGTACACTGCACTGAATAATGTAAAACAACATGCGGACGATATGATGATTAATAGCCGGGTTAGCCCGCCACTGAACAGAGCACCGACTACGGTAATACATGTGTATAATGTATAATATAATAATATATGTATATAAATATAGACCGATATACATAAATATGAATATCTGTGTGCTTATATACCTATACGTGGGTCGGTAGCGAAATACCGGTCAGCTGTGCTATCGGCGGTGGTGTAGTGGTCGGTGGATGAGGAGGCGGAGAGGAAGATGATGAATTTTGGAGACCTGATGATGTATATAGGAAATAGGATCCACTCGGCCCGGAGTCCCTCGAGCCATATTTTTCTCTACAAAACTTAGATAAACATTATGGGTTCCGTATATTTCATTTGTATTGGCTCAAACATATAATAAACGTCGGGTTCTCAAAATATAAAATCCAAGTCAACAATCTTTCTGCTGTATTCGTATAATACAAAGAAAATTTTAGCGTATTATGAATTACCTAACATAACCTATTTTTAATATTTAAATTTATTTTTAAATAATACGCGTAATGTATAGATAGATTAGATTCTAAATAATTGTTTATTTGAAGCTATAGACAAATATATAAAATTATATACATTACTGTAGTATATTACCTAATTACATAACTCCAATTATAGTTTATGTGCAATTTTGGTAATTCACTTAAACGACCTAATCAAATGCACCAAAACAAATATAATTTAGTGCTTTTAGTGATATAGAAAAGTGTAATATAATTTTATGCATTTACAGGGAGCAAAAAAACTCCCCAGTTTATGAAACTAATAAAAACCAAGTCAAATATAAAAATAATATTATTTGTTTATAAAATGTATATTATATTATAATGCCATAAATTATTTTTTAAAATTATATTATAATTATGGTAATTATTTATAAACTTCAAATATCATGAAGAATTTGGAGGTATGTAGGTATAGGTAGGTATACCTAATAATTTTATCGGCATATATACAATTTATATTTCTTAGTTAATAGATATTTTGAACTAGTTAATTTATGGACGAATATATTCTGCCCTATTCACTGAATCCGTTTCCAAAATGGGTTTTCTCTTCTGTTATATGCATTTTGAACATTAACACGGGCGAATAAACGTTGTTAAATGGCGATGGTTGCCGATAACATCTGTGTAATGGACAGAATGACAAACCACACGATCGGCAAATCCCTATCTCTCAGATCGCCTACATCGCACAGCAGCTAGGTGTGCACTTTGTTACAGTGTTTAAATGTCTACTTATATGATAGTAAAACAACATTACAGTTACAGGTGCCAATCACACTCAATGTTAATAGCAAAATACACCATTATACCTGTCTTCGATCAGAAACTTGTCACTGACGTTCTGCACGCAATCTCCTTTGGTCGTGATGGTGGTCGTATTTATATTGATGGGATGGCTCACGCCAGATTGAAACCATCGACCGGACCATTGGGCAGGAAACTCACATTCACCTGCAAACGGAAACGTATGGTTGATAAATATGCTTAAAATATTGTGTTATTGAATATATATTAGTTATTAGTCATATTAGTTATATATTAGTTCATTCGGATAGACTATCTATGAAATATATAGGTATATCAACTTTGTAGTTTTTGTAGACATATTTTTAGTCTGTTTTAATATAAACAACAGTAAGTATTCAACTTTTGACTGCCAAGGCGATGTATAGATGATTTTATATTTCTAAAATATAAATCATTCGATATCTTTAAATATCTACAATTTTAAATATTTTAACTCATGCAGATAAATTCTTAGTAAATAGGTACTATTCTTCATTCCAGTTTAAAATTATTACGTTTACTTATATTTTTACACTTTTAGTTGATAATAGTAGGTTTAGTTTTTTTGTTTTCAAAAGGTTACAAAATATTATGTGTTAAACTATATTTTGACTAATTAACTGTCGGTAAATAATAATGGACTGACTGCTATAAAACCAAATTCTATACAATAATAATAATCTGAGTCACGTGTACTAATATATTATATAAAATATTATTTGTTTATCTTAATTACTATAATTAAAATGATAAGTTAGATGCGATTGGTCTTAAAACTATTTTCAAGCATCATTTTAATTATCTTTTAAAGTCTAGACAGTCAAAAAATAAACTAATGGAAAAACAAATTGTATTTCTTTGTTTATTTATTTTGGATAAGTGATTCAATGTTTGTTTCCGTTTCGTGCTGCTCCTTTATTATGGCATGGATTAACTGGCAGGATTTGTTTTCGTAAGCATAATATATGAAATGTATTGTGCCACTTTTCAGTGGCTTTATTTGTTTATGGAAGGTCGTACAGTACACGGTGATAATATGTCATATGTAAGATATTATCATATGTACGCATGATACGGGTATTATAGGTAAATAAGCTTTTTTGTACTTGAAAAATGTTATATTCGTATATTATAGTTTTGATTGCTTATTTCACGTGTATTTAAAACCGGATTTTGTATAGGACTGTATTGGACCCCAAATAAAAACAGTTGGCCTGAGCGCAGCGTGATAATAACCGCGTGTATACGAGCTGATTGAAAATTATAAGTTATTGTATTTGTACTTTGGCAAGCTATATAATTATACAGACACACGGTGTGCGTATGAATTCACACGCCCAATATTCCTCAGCTGTATTAGGTTAATTATGTTTTGAATTACGAGTCAGCACACGCGGCGCACAGGACGACGAAACTAGAGTATAATATAGTATATTATATATTATGTATAGAGAGAGAGACGCGATTATGTGTTTTCGGCATAGGTTTTTCCGCTCCCCCTCGTTTACTACTGCAGGGGCATACGCGTATTTTCTTGATACACGTACCTACCTATACATATATGTATAAAATATATAATCCTAAGGATTAAAAACTCATACGCACGGTGGTAAAACCCACACACGCTCGCACGTGCCATATAGCCGAGTAGTGGAAAAAAAAATTCTTCTACACTTGTACACTATATAATATATATATACACCCTCGTGTATAGGTACTCTCACACTGCGCCCACACATAATATTATATAGGTAGGTACCAGCTATCGTCATATACGCGTTGTACATATTTGTGTGTGTGTGTGTGTGTGTGTGTGTGATGAATAATATTATTTAGTGTTATATATTATATATGTATACATGTGTGTACGACGGCGGGAGTATATATACTGTTAATAAACACGGGAGCCCGTGGCGGTTGCAGCGGGGTGGCCGGCGGTAGAGGGTGGATTGCGCACACACGTATGGTGGTGTATGTATACCCAGTTTTAATACTCGGCCGAAAGCGCATTCCTATTAAACTTTAAGCTTTTCGGGTCCAACTTTGTGTATGCGTTCGTGTGTATAATACACAAAACACTACGCGTTTATAAACACACATAAGCCACCAGGAGATGCCCGCTACGGGCTCCTTCGCCTCCACCGTCGTCGTCGTCGTCGTCGTGGCAGGGTGAGGCGAGATTGGACCCGGGATAGAGACCGTGGTGTCGGCGGCGGCGGAAAAGAGGGCGAACGCCTCCGACCAAAGACAGAACGCCCGAACTCTGAAGGTGGTGGTGGTGGTGGGACTGTGTGCGTGTGTGTTGAATGGGTGGGCTGGGGGGCGACACCGCCGATATTAATTTCTATACCGGGGCCCCCGCCAACCGGGCTGTCAAGAGGAGTGATGGAGATCAATATTGCCGAGTTATAAATAATACCAGACGAAACTTAACCTCCAAACCCCCTTCCCCTTGTCCCGTCACCGAAAACCCCGATCGTCGTGTCGTTCTCACACTTTAATATATTATATGTATATATAGTATACCTATACAAGCGACCGTTATCCCGCGGGCAAACCTCCTACAATATACACGCACACACACACATAGAAACACACACTCACACACACATATGTTATATTATAAATAAATATATATATAATATACGAGAAACGCGCAATAAACGTGAACAATATCAACGCACATATTATTATTATTACCACCAACACCAAGACGGTGATGAATATATAATACGTCAACCGTGCGGAGCGTCAGGTGTTTTATTTTATTGTAATTGTTTTAAATATTTTTCCCCCAAATGAAGTACATATAATATACTTACGACTTATAATTATCATAATAAAATTATTTTAGGAGTATTATAGTCAGAGGGTGAAATATATACTCGTCGAAGCATATAGGCGACAACTATACACAATGATTATCGGGAAGGCAGGCCAGGGATCAAACATTATTTGTTTTTGATTTTAAAGTCTGATTTTTCCAAAAAACACTCAAAGAACTTAGGTAGTTTCTATGATAACATATAATAATATATCGAACTTTCTAGTCCATAATTCCAGTGTGTTCCGTTCGCTTTATCGTTTAATATATTAATTTATATATCGCTTAGTAGTATAGATTTATAATTTTAAATTAACTTTGGTTTTATCAAAGCTCAACTATTCATGTAGTTAAATGAGATAACTACAGCTGTATTTGATAAAGAAATAAATCGTAATAAAACGTGAGTTCAGTAGGTGCCTTTATTATGATACTGCTGTAAATCGTAATTAGAATATAAATCAAAATTTATATTTATAATCCTGTTGTTTTAGTTATATTTAGGGTTCATTTTATTTTAACCGAAAGTTGATAAAGAAATAAGTAGATATATTATAAAGTTTGTAGAAACGAGATATACCTAGCTATTTTAAAGTGAGAGCCGAGAGGTTGGAATGGAGTTGATTGTCACTATCTTTAATTGTAATACATGATCGGGACTGGGAATTTTCAGATGGAATTTTTAAATTGAAACAGGAAAATAACATTAATGTGGAACATCAATTCGGCTAGCAGAGGTCATCCAAGAGTGACGAAGACGTCTCTTTTAGACGATGCGCGACGTCTCTAGGAAAACCGAGTCCGTTGTTAAATAACGAACGTCGATTATTAACATAATAATACTTTGGTACACCTCTGTATAGTATCCGACGTACTACGTACGAGCAATATCATAATATATAATAATATAATAGTATAACATTATATAGCATGGTCGGCGCGGCGGTTAGAAACGTTTTGACGTTTCAATAGAGTTTAAGAACACTAACATTTTAACTATTTCATAAATGCAATGATTAATCGAATACAGTGACTCACACTTTGAACACCACAAACGAATCTTCTCAGTGTCCGCTATCGATACACGACGAACTCATATGCATAATAAAATATATATTATTTCATATTATACAGTAAGTGTGCGTCTGCGTAATCATCGAAATATTATTATGAAATATATTTTTTTGTTGTTCCTACTTTTGGACATGGAAATTACTGCGGAAACCCGATAACGTGTAAAACAAATATTCGTATGTAAGGTCAGTAAGGTGTATTTTGATTTTGGGAATATAACACAGTTCTATTGTTTGTGTTTAGACATTAAAAGCACTATCAAAATACAAAACTTTTCGCAATGATGTTCACCAGACTAGATACTGCAGGTATAGTATAATATTATGTTCTTGCGACGGCTGATGAATTGATATACCGTATGAACCCTGCAGAACGCTACAATCACGAATGGGGGGGGGGATACTAGTCTATATAGTGCAACAACTGTTCGTTTTCCACTTGGAAGAAACCGTCCAAAAGTATATGATACACAGTACAGTAATCGAAACATAATATATGTGTTTCTGCATAACACCACCATCACAACGCGGTAGTTATAAAACCGTCGGACAGGATTTCGCGATTATGATGACGGTCGTTTCAGCTCCCGCGGCGGATATGTATTTATTGTTTATACATAATATATGTGTGAGTGTGTTTGTGTGTACGTGTGTGTACACTGTATACGCAACAGTCACACCGACTCTCGACCTGTCGAACATCAGCCGTCGAGCTTCATAATGATATATATATACGGACCCGAACATATCATCGCCGTCATCTGTCCGGTTTCCCACGGGGGCAAATATTTGCTCGCCGATTTCCAAAAGGGATCACGACCCTAGACCGAATCCCACCCCACCCCACATCGGAGCCTTTACTCCGCACTGTTGCCGTCGTCGTCGCAGGTCGACGATTTAAAACAAACAATGGGCAAACCACGCCGTTGTTCAAGCTATATTATATATACATATATTTGCGCGACTATAATGCCCGTCGTATGACGGTAAGCAATAAGCATACATACATTATATTATATAAAATATATAGGTATATAAACTGTGGTATCGTGGGATATACCGTGGTCCGTGTACTCCGCAGCACAAAGCTCTTCAAAAACAATGCTAATTGAAAACCGGCTGTACATATATATATATATATAGATTCTGGACGCCCTTTTCTTCAGTACCGTGACCTAACACACTGCAGTATACGGGACGGCATAATAATAATAATATTACAATACTGTGTACAATGTGCATAGTAGCATAGATGTCTGGCGACTGCTGCGAAGACCCGACGACGAAGCGTAGGTACAATAAACGGGAGTATATACCTCGCGGGTTATTAGTTATTGCAGCTATTATCGCGTTCAGAGGCCGTCGATGAAATATATTATATTTTTACGACTTCCCGAGGGGGACCGGGAAGAAATTCGCTTTACGCTCAGCGGCTATACTATTATAAACGCGTATCGCCGTGGCGGTGGGAACCGAAGGAGAGGGAAAAAAGTATACGAAAAATGCAGTGACTCGGTGAAAAGCGGTTAATTAAAATGAATAGCTCGCAACGGACTATATTGTGTTGTAATAAACATCGGAAAAACAAACATTTAAAATAAATAGACTGTTGATCTGTTTGCGAGTATTTTCTACCGCGATCTTTTCGTATATATCTATACGCACATTATATACAATATATATTGTTAATCTATCTATCCTTGCAAGTTTGTCGTTATTATTGTTATTATATTCCTTTGTACAACGTAGGTACCTGACGACGTGAAGCTACAAACATTTATTATTTTGTAACACCGTTCATTGTTAAACACATAGACGAATTTAATTAAACGCATATTAATTTACCAACGACTGACGGAAGATACTATAACGCCGCGTAGGAACGATGAAACTTTATCGACTATCAAATTGAAATGTCCGGGACCGGACCTTATTTTGCGCACCACAGAACGTATACGTATAGAAATATATGCACTCGAAAACATTTAGTCCCAGAGTTAAATTGAAATAGTATTTTATGGAACAAAAAACTTTATTAATTTGAGAACTGCTGCATACCAATCTATTGCACTGACTCGAATGGACAATAAACATTTTTGTAATGGGTACCTATGTCCTATATACTCAGGTAATTTTTATTAAGGTTATAATATAAAATAGGTTAGGTAAATATAAATATAAATGTACGCCAAATGTGTGTTGAATCAATGTGTATAATTATATTGTTATCTAATCAATTTAAGAAATTCAATTTAAAAAAAAAAATTGGAACATCATGTATATATATATAAATTGACCTAAGTATTGTATACCTACTGACGAGGTATTTAAGTCATGCCGTTTAAGAGTTAATAGTTTAATACTTTAATATTCCTCAAAATGTAAAATATAATTGTCGTACAGGTATATTATATTATAATATTAAATAATACAAATTCACAATATTTACTAGGTATAACACCAACAGAGGACTTCATTTCATTATATTAGGACATTAATATAAACAGCACCAGATGCCATGCAAGTATTTAAAATAAATCTCAAAATTATTGAGAAGCCTATTGCCTATACACATTACACAGGTATCAATATTATGATAATGTCAATAAATTATTATTATATTTTGTTTGTGATTAAATTGAAAAGGTACTAGGTACTACCAAAGTGAATAAACAATCATAATATAATAATATCTACCTTTTATTTTTAAAAACCTTTTTTTATACTTATATTTTATTACAGTAAAAAAAAAATAATACCGAACAAATCTATTTGCTTACAATTGATCCAATGTCATCAAAACATTTATTCAAACAGATGAATATGAAATAGCCATATTTGTTTTTTGCAACATTTTATCCAATTTGAAGTCAAAATAATAGTAAATAATACTTTATTACCTCTATACCTTTATGTATATTTTAATCTATTTTTTAAACTTCATCCCAGCAACTTTGGCCATTAGCTAAATTATGCATATTTTATACATTTCTTAAGGGGTGTGTTTATATTTGGCCACGATCGCGAACAAACGGTACAGAGATACAAAACGTTACGGAAAGAGTTCATACGCCGAATATAATAATAGGTAGATAGTTGCCAGTACATGTTCAGAGTTCAAACTATTATCGTTCGAGTTCGTTCTCCGTCGTTCGATAGCCTTCGCTCGGGAAGCTAATTGTCTTGACGGGCCGAACGTCGTTCACACCGAATAGCATTTTATGTGATCTCACCGCCACCCAATCGAACCGCTCCGAACGCGACGAATGGCTGTTCGTAATGGCCTAAACGCACCTTGTAAACGCTGTGGTCATTCAAATCGATATGTTTCGTTTATATCCACTACTATAACTCATCACCGACGGACCGGTGAAAATAGATAGTGTGGCAATGTGTGCATAACTCGTCATGTCTACAAGCACGATAAGTTTTTGATGGTGTTCGGCGACCACAACATTTTGGTTTTAAATTTCACATATCGGTATAGTCGGTACGAATTATAACAACAATCGATCACGGTACTTTTTGGCTAGCATAATATACAGCTAATTTGATTACAATATATAACAACAACACTTTAAATGCACAACACTGAACAACAATAATGACACATGTACTGAAATTTAATTACGCCTAATGGTTTATCGATACCGAAAAGGTTTTTGAGAAATAAATATATACGATTGTTTTTTCTATCCGTCCTTCTTTCTTTGACCAAGCTGAAATTAAAGTGGTATCGCACCAACTAATAGTATTTTATCTCTGGCCACCATTCAATACCAATGTGTCTCGTTTCAAATAATTCCAGGATATGTCATTTTGTAACCGAACGAAATTCCCCAAAGGACATTTTCTAATTTCGGTATATTTTTTTCCCTATTCCTTTACCGCGTAAAACTTCTATTACAGCATTCGGCACAAATTATATCAGAAGACGGCGA